AAAGAGGAAGTTAGTTTATTGAACTTTGGCCTGGCTGCGCTGGAAATTGGTACAATTATGACTTAAGATGCAGGTTTGGGGCTTTTTTTTACATTCTCGATATTTGTACAGCTTTCCATTTGCATAGGCCTACAGTTAATAGACTTGTATTCTCTAAATTACTCTCTTACTAAGAACTAAGCAAGCAGTGTTAGGCTCAACGAAAAGGCACATGGCGTTATCATGCTTGGATTTAGAGGCTGGTTTTGCTTGGGACCTTCAGCACGACTTCCTAGGATTCACTTTTAGTGAATTTAGTAGTTAATTCCTGTTACTGAATGCCATTAGCCACGGTCCCACCACAGAAAAGGTAGAGACTCTGTCAATGATTTTATTTTGCCAGATGATTATACTTTGCATTTTATTATTGGTCACAAATGTTCATGTGTAAACGGTTTATTTTGACAATCTACTTAATTATCATGTTTTCTTAAAATCTTTTCCTGTCCATGAAGTTTCAGGAGTGTTTGTGGTCTGTCAGATGAGGATTTGTCCTATTTTCACGTTTAGGTGGCCTACAAAACTTTAGAGGATTGTACAGACCGTCTCTTAATGTTACGTGCTACTAATATTGCCAGCCTAACAACGGTTACAAGGTAAGAATGGTTTTTAATAGGTACACCCACATATATCCCTCTTCATTCAAGTTTCTGTTACTTTGGTGAGTGCACTGCCAACACCTTTCAGGGAAGGTCAGTGGTTTTGGATTTGTCACAACAGTGCTCCTCCTCCCAGGGTTGTTTGCGCCAGTAGAGTAGATATAAACAGCAAAGCAGGTGTATTCTGTTTGATAGGCCTCTATAGGCGATTCGTACAGTGCAAGTGACTATAAAAAAAAGCATTGGAGAGGAGTGGCAACGAAGGACAGGTGAGACATGGCCCAGCTTGACAACTTTCTGCTAGCCCAGCCTGCCTCTGCGCTGGGATACCCGGGCTGGCGCTTGGGCCATCGTTCCAGAAGTGCCGCGAGTCAGGGGGACTCCCTAACCACCTTGGCCTATTCCTTATCACCCAGTGGGGTATGAAGAGAGCCAAGACCTTCCTATTCTCGTTCTTACAGGTAATTTACCCATTTCTGAAAAAAAAAAAAAAAACAAAAACAAAAAAACCCACCTAAACTACCGCATAGGGCTGTGACCCTGGCACAACCACGCATGCTGCTCCAGCAGCGGAAGGCAGTGCCCGTCTGCCAGCCGGAGCCAGACCAGAGAAGCCGCAGAACACGGGCTCGCCTTTCC